CTACTGCCGCCTCTACTCGCTCAGCGTGGACCATTTCAACGCGGTGCTCGAGGAGTTCCCCATGATGCGGCGGGCCTTTGAGACCGTGGCCATGGATCGACTGCGCCGCATTGGTGAGGCCTGTCCACTCTGCTTGCTGTGGGTCCAGGCTGTGCCCTCGCCCCACTCCACAGCAAAAAGCCCAGGCCCTAGTGCTTCAATGCCACATCCAGACCTCACAGTCCTAACAGGAGCCCCCAACAGGCCTCCCAACACGGTGACCCGTGGTCACATGTTCTGTCTCCATGCCCTGGGTCTTTCCCCTGCTTGCCAGTCCCTGGCTCTGTCTGTCCCTCCAACCCAGCTCACAGTCTCCTTCTCCTAGCCATATCTCCACACACCTGACCCCTGTCCTGACCTCAGGCCATTACCCGCCCACTCCTCGACATCCAGCCTCCATCTGGGATTCCTTCTCTATTCTTTTTTCTTTTTTGGAGAGGCTTTTTTGCTATAGGGCATGTGCGCTCGCCAGACAGACAGAGAGAGACAGAGAGACAGAAAGCTAGAAATCACCCCCCAGAGGGGATGGCCACGCCGCAATCCCTTCTCCTCCATTCTCCTCTCAGGATCTTGGGCATGCACATGTGCCCGGCGTGAGTTTTAAGCCATCAGGTCCGGGACGTGAACCACGGTCAACTACATGGGAGTCCAGCAACATAGCCATTACGCTAACTGCTGGTCCCTCCTTCTCTATTCTTAATGCCTTCCTCCTCACCAACCTCTAGGCAAAAAGAATTCCATACTGCAGCGGAAGCGCTCCGAGCCAAGTCCGGGCAGCAGTGGTGGCCTCATGGAGCAGCACCTGGTGCAACACGACAGGGACATGGCTCGGGGTGTCCGGGGCCTGGCCCCGGGCACAGGAGCTCGGCTCAGTGGAAAGCCAGTGCTGTGGGAGCCACTGGTGCACGCGCCCCTGCAGGCAGCCGCCGTGCACTCCAACGTGGCCATTGCTCTGACTCACCAGCGGGGCCCTCTGCCTCTCTCCCCTGATTCCCCAGCCACGCTCCTTGCTCGCTCTGCCCGGCGCTCAGCAGGCTCCCCAGCCTCCCCGCTGGTGCCTGTCCGAGCTGGCCCTCTGCTGGCCCGGGGGCCGTGGGCATCCACCTCTCGCCTGCCTGCCCCACCAGCCCGAACCCTCCATGCCAGCCTATCCCGGGCAGGGCGCTCCCAGGTCTCCCTGCTTGGCCCCCCTCCAGGAGGAGGTGGACGGAGGCTTGGACCTCGGGGCCGCCCACTCTCAGCCTCCCAGCCCTCTCTGCCTCAGCGGGCAACAGGTGATGGCTCTCCCAGGCGGAAGGGCTCAGGAAGTGAACGCCTTCCTTCCTCAGGGCTCCTGGCCAAGCCTCCAGGGACAGCCCAACCCCCCAGGCCACCAGTGCCTGAGCCAGTTACGCCCCGAGCCCCTCAACTCCCTGCCAACATGTGAAACCCTCGGGTACACCCGGCCTTAGCTCTTGGGATGCAGCAGCGTGTGCCCGAGGGTAGATGCCTCTAGAGGAAGGCCGTGGAGACCTGACACGCTGCCCTGTGGGAATGTCCCCCTACTGCCATGAAGATGGTCTCTGTGTCCTCAGCTCAAGCACCCTGCAGCCTGTCTGACACCCCGGTCCATTTGCCCATCCATCATAGGTACTGAGCGCCTACCACGGTCAAAGACTGCGAGGCGCTGTCTCCACTGCCAGTAGAAGTGGCTTGAAGCCCTCTGACAAGGGCATTTCCCTGTCCATGGTCCTGCCAGGTGCAGGCCCGCCCGTGACTCCTTTACCAAGCACAAGTACTTGCCCCACCATCACTGCCAAGTAACTAGATGTGTCTGTTCCCTAGCGCTGACCTGTAGGCCGTGTCTGGCGTGGTTATCTTCCTGTCCCCCTAGCATAGCTGGGCACTGCCAATTCCCTGTGCCCCACTGCTGCCAACAAATGTCTTGGGCCCTGAGTGTGGGCATCCACCTCTGCCCTCTCACTGCCACCTGTGGGCCCTCCCTGTCTCTCCCCTGCGGGCAGGAACACACGTCTCTTGCCCAGTTCCCCGTAGTCTCCGTCTCTGGGGTAGAACTGCCTTTTTATAAACTGGGAGCTGCCTCTCCCATGCCCTGTGCCCCAGTGGTGCCCTCCCTTAGATCCTAGGGGGAGTCGGCGCCTCCTTATTCCTGCGCCAGCCTACCTCCCCCCGGGCGGGGGTCTGTGGCTGACTCCTGATGGGACAGGCTCTCCTTTATTCAGTGATTTATGAGTTTGGTTAGTTACTGGCTCACTGAATTTGCCATCAGCTGATCTTGCTCACCCATGTTCTTCCCCATCCCTTCCCTCCCAGCAGGGGGCAGGAGGAGCAGGAGGAGGCAGGGCCCCTCCATGCCAGCTCCTACCATCCTTGCCCAGCTCCATCAGCAGCAATACTCAACCATCTCCTTATCCAGGGAGGGGTAAGAGGGCCCGCCCGAGATGGGCAGGAGGCCCGAGCTACCTCGGTGTGCTCCTGGGTTTGCTGTTGGTGCGGGGGAAAAGGCTGCCCGAGGCAGGTACTCCTGGAGAGGGCAGGCCAGTCACACCTCTGCCTTCTCAGGAACAGAGTAACCCCTCATCTGCCACTCTGTCCCCGCTACTCTATAGCATCGAAGAAGGTGGGGCCAGGACCCTAAATCTCCTTTCCTCCCTTAGGTGGAGGGGTTCTGGGGTTCTGGGCGTATGGGAAAAGTTTTATAATTGCTTCCAAACAGCTGAGTTTAAAAGAAAATAGACGCTCCTGGTGGCTCCTGGTTTGTGTGTGGGAACAACGCAGATGGGAAGGCATTTCCGAGTAGGAGGGGCAGCAGGGCAGGTGACCCTGCAGGGCCCGAGTGGGCTGGAGAGCGTCCAGGAGCCGTCTGCAAGCCCATCACGGAGGCTGTGGGGACACTGACAGTCAGCCTGCCCAGCTCTGTTCTCCCCAGCATCCAGCCACCCCGGCTTGGTGCCCCGACGTCATAGGCAGGCACCACGATGGAAGAGCCTGCTCCGGCTGAGGCTGTGAGGAGGAGGTGGCCCTGTCGATTACCATGAGAGCCACATATGAGAACATCAGGCGGCATGGATATGAAGTGGCTTTAAGGTAGTGACTCTGGGGAGACTGTGGACAAGACTGCTCTGCTCCCCTCCCCCCCACCCCCCAGGATGGGAAACCCGGGGAAGAGAACTATCCAGCCAAGTCAGAATTAAGGCCCAGGGTGTCTTCGAGCCCAGTCGACCAACGGACAGTCATGCTGCTGAGTGGGCAGCGGGGGCCGCACTCAGACGTCCGGGGCCCGTGAGGAATGACTAGGGAAAGGGACATCTCCGTAGGGTTCGATGTGGTCTCTGATGGGGGCTTGGGAGTAGAGAAGACTGAGAGGTGGGGTGGAGGGAGGGGAGGGGAGGGGGAGAAGGGATACAGCGCAGGGGTGGGTTGGGTCAGAGGAAGGGGCAACTCAGGATATGCTCAGCACCCGCATGATGTTGGTATAGCCAGAGCCAGGGCGCCAGCCTGTCACCACAATCACTAGGTCCCCAACACGGAGGAAGCCACGGAGCTTTCCTGGAGGGCAGGGGAGGAAGATGACAGTCAGCGATGGAGGGAGGCAGGCCAGCCCTGTCGTGAGAACCAGCCCCCACCCCAAAGCTTCCTTGCAAGGAAGGGGGCCTGAGGCAAGCTGTACGGTGTGTCCCGCCAGTGGCAGGGCGGGGGCGGGGGCCCCCTCCGG